GTCGGCCACGTGCCGGCCTGCGGGCTGGCAGCGGGCTGGTGCAGTTTTCAAATAATTTTTTTTTTTATTTTTATTTTATGACAACATTATAAATTAATAAGTTTATAATGTATATAAGTTATAAAATTATAATTATAAGTTTTATAAGGTTATAACTTATAAGTTTATAACTTATAAGTTATAAGTTATTAAGTTATGAATTTTATAATTATAAGTTGAATATTTATGTTTTATAATTTGTATATTCAATATTTATATTTATATATTTACTTTATACTATTACTTTAAAATTTAATGTTTATGATTTATTAGTAATTTGTATAATTTTATTTTTTTTAATATGAATTTACAAATTGTAACAAAACGGGGAAAAAAGGTAAATTGGACTTTGGATGTGAATAATGCGTACTTTATATTATTATTACTTGAGTTGAGAAAATTGTACAATGATAACAATGATAAAAATCATACAATGATGGTATTAAACAAAAATTGGAAAATGATAAAATTGATATTTTTAAAATCGTACAACATACAATAATTGTCTATTCTTCTTCTCCTTCTTCGTCTTCGTCTTCGTCTTCGCCTTCGCCTTCAAGGTCATCGGCTAGTTGCATAGATTGGGAACTAGCCGAACCGGAAGCGGAGGTTCCTTCTTCGTTGTCGTTGTGGTCGTAAGAACGGTCTTGTGAGCGATTTTCCGCATCCAACCAATCTTTGAAACACACGCACATTTCTAGTGTTTCGGGTTTTAGACTTGTTCTTCTATCGTCTAAAACCCTTCCGGATGCGCTGAAAGCTCGTTCGGAGGCGACGGAGGAAACTTGGATAGCAAGAATGTCTCGTGCCATTGCCGCCAAAGTTGGATGCTTCGAGCTTTGTTGTTTCCACCATGCAAGGAGGTCGAGGCTGTTTATCTCATCGTCGTCCATGCCTTTGGTGAAGTCGTAACTCAGGTACATCTGCAACTCCGAGACGTCGCTTTGCGTTCTCCTGATTGATGAATCACCTGAAAACCTTGAAATCAAGTTAGTAGCTTGTGAAAATAAATGTTTGGCCTTCTTACTTACGTTTTTGGATGGTTGGGAAGGCCCTGAGCGAGGAACGGTGCCATATTTGGCTTCATAGACTCTATATAAAGCAAAAAATTGATCCTTCACATTAGTCTTATAGTTTTCTACATCATCGTCAAGAAACATGCATTGAAAGTAAATGTCAACTAACATAAATGTGTTTTCATACTTTTGCCTAGGATCTAATATGGAAGCAAAAATATAAATCAAAGGAATCTCACTATAATATTTACGCCACTTTTTTTCCATTGCTGGAAGATACTGATCATAATCACTTTGATGGCGATGATTAGCGAAAAGTTGGGCGAGTAAGCATGCATTAGAAAGAAAGTTTTGAGCACAAGGATTGTAAACAGTAGAAAAACAATACGTCATGTTATATAATAACTGTAAAAATTGCATATATCTTTCACAGTTTTTCCAATCATCATCATACAAAGCATTTTGTGGAAATTTTTGGTTGTAAAATAATGTTAACGGGCCCTTGTACTCAATTCCCTTTGTTAACATGTCATAGGTGGAATTCCACCTAGTTGGGCAATCGGTTCTAATTTTTATTACCCTTATCTTTTGTTGTTTTAGAAAACTCTTCCATTCTTTGTATCTCATGTTAGAGCTATTAATAGACATAATAGCATCTCTGATTTTGCTGTAGTATGGGCCAATTGCCCGAACTCCATCCTGTACACATAAGTTAAGTACATGGCAAACACATCTAGTATGAAGAGCTTCACCGTCTAATAGTACATCGGTTAAGTTTTGTTTGATAAGATTAGTTGTGTATGTCATAGAGGTTGCATTATCAAAAGTCATAGACATCATTTTATCTCGAAGGTTGTATTCGTCTATTGCTTGCATTAAATGGTGAGCAATGTTAATGCCGGTGTATGGGTATTCCAGCATTTTGAAATGTATTATTCTTTTTTGTAACATCCATTGATCATCTACCCAATGGCAAGTCACACATAAATAGTGATATTTATAACCACTATCCCAAGAATCGGCTGTTAAAGATACTCTACAGTTAAGGTTACTCAATTCGGCTTGTAACCGGACTTTGTACTCTAGGAAATTTTTCATTGCGGCGGAACGAACGGTTTTCCTAGAGATTCTTTTATGTTGGGGTTGTAGTGCTTTGTTAATGTAGGTGTTGAATGCGTCACTTTCCGAGAAAAGAAAAGGTTGTTCGGCGTGTACTATCATTTTTCCTAGTTCATCCCTATCCCTCTCATAGTTGTATGTAAAGCCGTATGGATGGAATTGGGAAATTTTGGGCTGGGTTGGATCACTAGCTGGTTTTGCACAAGCTTTCATGTGTCTAGATAAGTGTCCCGTCCCGTTTTTGGTAACTGCCGTGAATACACTATTACATGTTTTACATTTTGCCCATTGTTCACCATCTTTACTTAGGACAAAATAACGCCATACCTCACTCCTTCGGTTTTTCAAAAGTAGCATCTCAGTTTCGGTTAACCATTCATGATGTGTGTGATGGTTAGTAGTGGGACTAGTGGGAGTGGCAGTAGAAGGGGTAGAACCGGAGGGAATTCGGGTACTTTCTTGGCTACCTTGGCTAGAACAATAGTTTTGTTGATCACCGATATAATTAGGTGGAAATTGGTATGGTGGTAGTGGAAATTGGTTTAGTGGTGGTGCTGGAAATCCCGACGTATTATATGGCTCATAGCCCGGGGGGAAGTAAATGGGGTCATTGGTTTGACTCGTAATTTGGGGGCTCGTTGTATTTGGTGGTTCCCTAGAACTACTACTACGGATAAGTCGGCCTTTCCCCCTGGACCTAGATGATGGGTTGTTCGATGCCATAATTAACAATTAATTTTTTAATAAAAAGTGGTTAACTATAATAATAATAATTAATAACAACAATTTTAACAATAAAAATATCAATAATAATAATTAATAACAACAACTATAACAATAACAATAACAACAAAAATAAATAATAACAACAATTGTAACAATAATAATAATTAATAACAACAATTATAACAACAACAATAACAATTAACAACAATAATAATTAAACAAGATTATTCTAATAATAACAATAAAACAATAATAAATTTAAGATTAGTTTAGATCTTACAACCGTGCTTCAACGCTCCACTAATTACGATTACGAACTTTTTAATTTCTTCCGATATTAGGAAAATAATTAGAGAATTTAAGAGAATAATTAGAGAATTTAAGAAAATAAGGATTATTAGAGATTTAGAGAATATAAGAGATAAGAAGAAGAGATTGTGATTTTGTGATTTGGGAATGAAATGGAGGTGAGTATTTATAGAATTTTTGGGGAGCAAATTGGCAAAAAACTAGCCGTTTTTTAGCCGTTTTTTGGCTTATTAAGGAGCTAGAATAAACGGTAACATTACCGTTGGCCCGCGGGCCGGCACGACGGGCCAGCACGGCGGGCCATGGCCGTGCCCGGGAATTCTCAACCCTGTCCGTGGCACGGCCCGTGGCACGGGAGTTGAACTTCGTGCCATGCCGTGCTTGAATTCGGGTCGTGCCGGGCGGCACGCGGGCCAACCCGGCCCGTGCCCAGGTTTAATCACCACCAAATCGTCAAGAAATGAGGGCATGTTCTATTCAACTTAATTTCAATTCAATTCAGTTTAGCTCCAATCAGTTTAGTTCAGTTTATTTTCTTATCTCATAAAATATTCATTTAAGCTCTTTATATTCAGTTTAGTTCAGTTCAATTTCTTCTCTCATGAAATATTCATTTTAACTATATTCAGTTTAGTTAAGCTCCAATCAGTTCAGTTCATTCTAGTTATGTTCAGTTCAGTAAATCAGAACAGACCCTAAATCCAAACGGTAGTAAAGAAGTACTTGAGCTTAATTGTGTTGCCAACAAGTAACGAGTTTGGCTATGGTCTCTTATGGCATGTTTTAGTTTACTTAAGAACTGAACTGTTTAATGTTTATGAGAGAAGAAAATTAAGAACTGAACTGAACCGAGTTGAACTAAAATGAACTGAACTGAAATTAAGCCGAAGAGAACATGCCCTTAAACCTTTTTTCAGTTTTTGAACTTAATTATGTCAAGACTAAGGGCCTGTTTTGTTTAGCCTAATTTTAGTTCAGTTCAGCTTCAATCAGTTATGTACTTCTGTTCAGTTCCTAATTTTCTTCTTTCATAAACAATCCAGCTCAATTCAGATCAGCCCCAATCAGTTCTGTTCAGTTTAGTTGTTTTCATTAAATCATAATAGGCCCTACTTTTGCTTTGATTTATTTAATTTAAACGAATATAACTTAGGGCCTGTTCTAATTGACTGAAATGAACTTATTAGAGCTGAGCTAAACTGAACGGAGTATTTTATAAGAGAAGGAAATTAGGAGCTGAACTGAACTGAACTTATTAAAGCTGAACGGAATTGAAAATAATCGTATCAGATAAAGTTGTTAGTTGTGTTCGAAAATAGGCCAAGGTTGGAAAAATGAATTGAATTGACCTTGAATTGAATGGAATTGAAGATAACCAATTTGATTTTTAAATCGACGCAGTTTAGAAACCAATCTTCAGACCAATTTGATCCAAAATCTCTTAGTCCAGTTGGTCCAAAATCTCTTAAAAACTACTCAAAAGTATTCAAAATCTTTCTGCATCACACTATCTTACTATGACGTGTTATAAACCAAAAAAGACATAATCGTCATATACTCATATTACACTTGACTTAGATCACATATATACAATAATACACCTACATCACTATAGTTACAATCCTCAACATATCTGGACTTAACCCAATTAATCAATTATACTTATTTTGAAAATGTACTTTACTAATTATAACAATAATACAAATATAAACATAAAAAATTTGTTTTAAGTGGAATACCCCAGCTCATTTCTACTAGTCGTACTAGCTAGTAAGCACTGTACCACCATACACTAATCGTACAACAACCAAACTTTAATAATACAACCAAAACTATAACTTAAAAATAAATAAAAATAACAACACTAGAAATAAAACAAAAGATATTTATAATTACGTTGCACCTTCATTCTTCACTTGGCAAAACTGTCCACATCTTACTATTCATTTTCTCTCTCCTCCCTCACTCCCCCTAGCCTAGCCTATCCATCTATCTATACATACAAACCCTTCAAAAACAAACACCTAAAAAAAAAAACATAAAACAAAATAAAATAATTTCACTTGAATTTCATTTTCTCTCTCCTCTTTAAACCGCCTCCCTCTTTTTTAGCTTGTGAGCTGCTCTCTACTCCACTTAGCCACCTCTTCCTTACTTTCTCTCTCCTCTTTTTCTTCTTTCTTTCTTTTAATACCCTTCAATTTCAACAGATCTCTTTCAGTATTCACACTTTCTTACATTATGAACAAGCAAGATTTCTTAAAAACCCAGGTATATATTTCATTCTTCTTTACTTTTATTTTTGTTATTATTATTATTTTTGGCTCAAATAATTTGAACTAATGTGTATTAATTAATGGGTTATTTTGTTTGTTTATTTTGTAGAGTTGTGTTCTTAGAGTGAACATACACTGTGATGGCTGCAAAAGTAAAGTCAAAAAAATCCTCCAGAAAATTGATGGTAATTTTTTATTTTTTATTTTTAATTTCTTAGATCTGAAATTACTGTATTTTTGTTACACTAGTTACATTACCACTCATTTCTTTCTCTGTCAATAGTTATATAGTGTAACCTTGGTTATATTGTACTATATTTGTTGCAAATAATAGTAAACGATGTTGAACATGTTATAACAATGGTCTAATTAAACTTGGGTTATGGTTAATTTTTTTTTTCAGGAGTTTATAAAACAGAAATAAATTCAGAGCAAGGGAAGGTGACGGTAACTGGGAGCGTAGACCCAGAAATATTAATCAAAAAGCTTGAGAAAAATGGCAAGCATGCTGAGTTATGGGGCCCAGCAAAAGGCTCTAACAACAACAATAACAACTTCATGAATCAGTTTATGAATGTTAATAATCAGATGAAGAACTTCAATTTAGACGTGGGTAAAAATGGAAAAGACAATAACAAGAGTCAAAAGGGTGGAGGTGGTGGTGGTAAAGATCAGAACAAAGGTGGACAACAACACCAGCAACAACAACAACCACCTCAGCAACAGCTGCAACATTTGCAGTTTCTTCAGCAACAACTTCAGCAACAGCAGATAAAAGCAGGGCAAGGTGCAAAAATGATGGCTGCTCCGCCGAAGGAGCAGCAGCAGAAGGCGGTGAAGTTTATGGGTCCACCTGAGGATGATTTCGATGACGAGTACGACGATGATGATGAGTTTAGTGATGAATTTGACGATGAGTATGATGAGGATGATTTGGATGATGATGTTTTTGGTGGGGGGCATCACCAGCATCAGGCGGTGAAGAGTGGAGCTGTTATGATGGGTAAGGAAGGAAAAGGCGGTTCGGGTGATAATAAGAAGGGGAAGAATGGAGGTGGTGGAGGTGGAGGTGGAGGTGGAGGTGGGGATAAGAAGGGTAAAGATGGAAAGGGTGGTAAGAAGGAAGGCGGTGGAATGGCTAGTATGATTAAGGGTATGTTAGGGGGTGGTGGTGGTGGAAATAGTGAGAAAAAGAAGGGTAATGATGGAAAGAAAGATGGTAAAAATGGTGGGAATAATAACAAAGGAGGTGGTAAAAATGGTGAGCATGGAAAAAATGGTGGGGGTGGGGGTAAACAAGGTGGAGGGGGTTTGGGTAAAGTGGTAAAACATGTGACATTTGAGAGTAATAATAAAGGTGGGGGTAAAAATGGTGGTGGTGGTGGTGGTGGTGGTGGTGGGGGTAAAAATGGAGGAGGGGGTAAAAAAGGAGGAGGCGGCGGTGGCGGTGGTGGAGGAGAAGGGAATATGATGAGTATGGGGCAAAAGGGTAATTTCCCAATGGCTCAAATGGGAATGGGCCCGGCCGCGGCAGGGTTACCAGCTACTCACATGATGATGAATGGTGGTGGGCCCGCAGGCGGAGGTGGTGGTGGGTATTATCAAGGGATGGGTCCAGGTCAAGGCCCAAGTCCAGCCCAATTCAATTCCCAGCAACAGCAGTATATGGCAATGATGATGAACCAGCAGAGGATGAATGGTGGCGAGGGTTATGGGATGATGGCGCCGCAGGCGGCTCAGCCGATGAATATGATGTATGGACGGCCACCGATGGGGCCGATGGGCTACGCACCTTCAATGGTTCCTCCTCCGGGGTACCATGACCCTTACACTTCCTATTTTAGTGATGAAAATACTGATAGTTGCAGTATTATGTAAATTCTTCTCTGTAATTTTTAATTTTGGTAATTTATTTTGAGGATATGTTTTTAACTAGGTTAGATTAATTAAAAATCTAGTGTGTGGGTTTTAGAGCCTAGTAATTTAGTTTCATGTGGGCTTTTAAATTTTATTTAGGGGTAATTTAGTATGAATGTAGTGCTTTTATTTAGTTCAACTTGAAGAGTTGATAATGATAAGTGTCATTCTCGTGTAAGAAGAATAGGAAATGGAAGTTTTTGTTTATTGGTAATATATGGTACTCCCACTAATCCACTTGAAATCTTTTATTGTGATTTTCATGTTACTTTCATTTTCATGCTAGTTTCTCCATTGTCTTTGTCCAACTTTTGATGTCTTTGTCAATTCATTTCGTGAGATTCATAATTTTGGTGAAGAGTTAAGATCGTGTTTTCATTTGTCTATAATAACATATCATTCCGCCAATTATTTAGAGTTTTCGAGCTCATGAAATGTGAACATGATTGTATTTATTAATGTGACAACTAAATTTGAATAAAGTGCAAAATGATTTGAATAAAGTGCAAAATGATAAGTTTTGCCAAAACCTTTGATTTAATTTTACTACTCCGTAGGTCCGATTATTACAATCCAACTGTGCTTCTAAAGCTGGTCCATCCAAAATAGAGTTTTTGACCCAAAGATGAACTTTAAGTTGACAGGATGAGTTCTCCCAACTGAGTACTGAACACCTGATCAGGTCATGTGTGGTATTGACTTTTAGATTAACTACATTGCTTTTTTGACTAACGGACTGATTTGGGTGAATTTGGCGTGGTTTACCAAATTTTATAAACTAAAGCTGTTTTTTTCGATTTTGTCACAAACTCACAACTAGTTTAATTGTTTAAAAAATTAATTCATTCTTATTATTATAATGTAGGTTTATGGAATTATGGGCATTCATATGGTACACTATTAATGTTTCAAAATTGCCACAACTATTGTGGAGTGTGCTATTTGACACTTGAGTCCCGAAAAAAGTACTAAGGTTTTTTTTTATTATTTTTTCCTTCAAATATCATAGATTATGGCATTATAATTTTTATTTTTTTTTGGGTGTTGCAATATTGGGCCTTTTATTTATTTATTTTTAAATTCGACTTAGGGCCTGTTTGACTGTTCTCTTCAGCTTATTTTCAGTTCGGTTGACTTCAGTTTTTTAATTTTCTCTCATAAAATATTTATTTCAGTTCAGTTCAATAAATCAGAACAAACCCTTATTTGGCTTATTTAGACCCAAAAACTCTTAGATAAACTGGAATATATTTCAGAAAACAAGTTTCGAATCTTTCAACAAGTTAAAATACTATGTTAAAATATTTTTCCCCTACACACAAATTCATTGATATCTAACAACGTTTTTATTTTTATTTTATTTTTTTATAAAAAAACAATATAACAATGCAATTATTTAACAAAGTGGGTCCTTAACTACGTACCCAAAAAACAATAAAAGAAATTATCAAGTAATTAACTAGCAAAATCGATAATTGATGATTTGGTTTGCCGGTGTTCCTTTTTAGAATTGGTGTGAAAAATTCAATTGACAAGATCAATATGTTATATTGGAGTTAAGTAAAATAAAAGGGACTCAGTTCTTGTACAAAGTGGGAAAAGGAACTCTATTTATTTTATAGAGAAAAAGAGGATTAGGGTTAAATTTTCGGTGGTAGAAGGTATTTTTAGGTGACTTAACTCACATTTAACCCAAGAAAAATTAAGTCCCTTGTAAAGAATTGAGTCCACTCATTATAGTTTTGATTAAACCAAACAAATAGCCCCCAAAAACCTTTAACGAAACAATTTTCAACACGTAAATCGATAAAAAATATTAATAAGTGAAAAGTGGTCCCCACTAATGAAACTTGTTAACGGCAAGATTTTTGTATAGAAACTAAATGTATTTTGGGATAACAGTGTGGAAAGTTTTAAATGGAGGGGTACAACTTAGAAAAGTGAAATTTAGAGGGTTACTATATAGAAAAACTCAAAAAAGAAGCCAAAGTATGTTTTTCATATCCTTGGTTTATTGTAGCTTATTTGTCTTGCATTTGTTTAATTGTGTGATTATATTAGGTGGTAGGTTTGTTGACCGTCCCCGTGAGTTAGAGTTAGGGATTGTTCACATTTACTGAACTGAGTTGAACTGATTGGAGCTGAATTGAACTGAACTGAAATGAACTGAGCTGAAATGAATATTTCATGAGAGAGGGAAATTAAGAACTGAACTGAAATGATTGGAGCTGAACTGAACTGAAATTAAGTAAATGTGAACAGACCCTTAGCTTGTGAGATGGTCGTGATTTTAAAGAGAAATGTGGAGTTGTAATTCTATGCCGTATGTTTGTTCCAAAAAGAGGAAGAGACTATTTTTTATTGGTCTTAAATTAAAATATTAAAAAAAAAAAAATTAAAACAAAGGGACTCAATTGTTTAACCATAGGAACTCAATTCTCTCCCTTATTTAATTAAAACCCACTGAAAACCTAAACTCATTCTAGCCCTGTCCCTTTTCCATCTCTAAAATAAATAGAGTCATCTTTCTCCATATTTTGCAAGAATTGAGTATCTTATTATATATATATACTACGTGTGTGTATATATATATATATATTAAACAGTTCCTTATTGTATACTTAACTATGTGATATTCGTTTTTTTTAACTTTTAAAAATAGACCGAATGAAATATCAAACCTCAACAATAATTCCTTTTCTCTAATTCAAGAAACCCGAATTGGAAGTTGCAGAGGTTACCAAAAATTGGATTCGTTATAGAATAAGAATCAAGGAACACTCATTCTTCTCTTAAAAATTAGATTACTTTGAAGAGGAATAATCAAGGAACACTCATTATTCACTCAAAAGAAGCTGCTTTCCCTTACAATTTCAAAGGGACTTTACATAATTGCACATAATAATAACCAAAAAATAAAATAAAATTGTTCTAACAGATAATTTTCCAATTATACTATGTCCAAGAATGAATTTTTTGATGGCCAAAATTGAATAAAAAGTTTTCCTCTTTATACAAATGTCTTAAACTAAAATACAAAGTAGAAGTATAAAAAAAAAATGTCAAAATTTGTACTAGAGATTTATTAAATAAAATGTCAAGTTGATACAATTTGGTGAAACAATTAATAGAGTATAATAAATAAAACCAACTAGAAGAGTATAAAATATGAGAGGGTATTTGACAAGTGAGGGAGCAGGAAGTGATAAGGTACTGGCAATTGAAAGCTCCATATATGGCATTACGCAACTTGGGGGCACATGGAAAGGGGTCCCTTCTCTTTAAGTTAGTACACCATTATATCAACAACACGTAACTCTTAAGCTAAACATGGCAACATGCTACCAATTATTGATAATTTGAGTTGGATTAGCTTCTTCACTCGGTTTTTTTCGATCGCAAAGTCATTGTGTAGATAAATTACATATAACATTTAACGGATATACAATAATAAGTTGGAAGTTTCCGTAGCAATAAATAATGAGACTGAATAGAACTGGTCATGAATGTGACTGTAAAAATAGGACAGGTGAATGAGCCTAATCCAATCCGTTGAGATTAGTGGGTTAGTAAAGGATAGTTTAAAAAGTAATAGGTCTATTATGTTGAGTCCCACGTATGTCATGTGTACAAACGTGTTGTCCATGTCTCACATAAGTTACATTAGATAAGATTATAAGAGGAGTAATAATCACTTAATTTATTGCTAAAAAAAATATAGATGTATCGTAACCATATGATTCAAGCATAAATTGTTTGAAGTATATATTAGAAATTAAGAGAACTAAGGGCTTGTTCACATTTATTGAACTTAAATTAGCTGAAATAAACTGATTGGAGCTGAGCTGAACTGAACTGAGCTGAAATGAATATATATTTTATGAGAGAAAGAAATTAGGAGCTATACTAAAGTGAACTGAAATTAAGCCGAAGTGAACAAGCCCTAAGTTGTATTCAAATTGACTTGAATTGAACCAACGTGATTCATAATGGCCATAAATTGACTATAGTATTTGGTTTAAAATTTACAAACATCCATAAAAGGTTACTAATAGAGCACATATGACCTAACTCAAACTTTAGTACTTGGCCATACCCGATTCAAGATCAAACTAAACCATTTAACAACTATAGAAATATAAACAAGATGGTCATAATCAAATCAAATATTGTGTCACTAATGAATTTGAGGGGTAATTCCTCAACGGATAATTGATTTGAAATAATAATACTTCGTCTATATCTCATTTGAAGTCATAAGTAATCTAACTATTGTCTTCCGTGAGTATGTACGTTATAGGCCATTTCACACATCCTTAAAATTAATCATAATTAAAAATTAAGTTTTCTACAAGAAACAGAAGATTCCTAAGGTGTCAAAGCATGATTAATTAAGCTTATGATTAAAGAATAAAACGAATTTCAAACTTTTAATTATAACAAGAGGGATATTTTCTTACATATCTCTTTGTCGGAAAATATTTCTCGGGGTTCCTTGTAAGAGCAAATTCAATGCATCATATGATATTCATTTGATTTTATCTTTCCTCTCCTAAAATTACACGTTTCATGATAATTGAACTAAGATAGACTTCTTAAAATCAATAAAAATGAAGTGGTATTACGTATTAATCCAAATGGGGCAGGGAATTGAGAGATTTGCGGAGGTTAGAAAGCATTCAATGTTTTCGTTGGGAATGAGATGACATCTTAGATTAGACCTTAGCTTCTTCCAAAATGGACAAACATTATGCATGTAATTTTTAGTTTGGGGGCTTTTGAACATTTTATTGACTAAGGAGACGTTTTTTTGTTCACTTCTCAACGTATCAGGTTTTTCACAAGGTATTTGTAATGTGTGAACGATCCCTTTATTCGAGTTTATTTAGGACCTACGCATTATCTTCACAAATGAGTCACTCTTGTATTATCTCAGTTTCACATTATGTATAACAATGGAGTATTATTTGTGAGAGATAAAATTATATTGTTGATGGTTGAGGCCTAGGAATATGTTTTATACTCTATCACTCCCCCTCACATGAAAGGTCCTTTTGGGCTTGAAATGTGGATGCAACACAGGCCCACCCATACCTGATGCGAATTAATTCCACTTTGAAGGAGGGGCGGATGAGATTCGAACCCGTGACCTTTGTGTCACGCTGGCTCCGATACCATGTTAGTGGACCAACTCAACCAAAAGCTTAAATACTCTATCATAATCATTTAAGTAGCATTATTTTATCTAATA